GTGAGGGAACTATGGCCCCTTCATGATTCGTGGACTTCAACTCCCAGAATTCCTCAGCCAGCATGAGGGAACTATGACCCTTTTATGACTCGTGGACTTTAACTCCCAGAATTCCTCAGCCAGCGTGAGGGAACTATGGCCCCTTCATGACTTGTGGACTTCAACTCCCAGAATTCCTCAGCCAGCATGGGGGAACTGTGGCCCCTTCATGACTTGTGGACTTCAATTCCCAGAATTCCTCAGCCAGCGTGAGGGAACTATGGCCCTTTTATGACTTGTGGACTTCAACTCATTATAAAGGCATTATAAAGCAGTAGTTATTACTTATTAAAATATCCTTCTTGTGTTGTTGTTGTTGTTTTTCCCCCCTACCCTGTCTAGTTCCAGCTCCTGGCTTCGGCACTTTTCAAGTCGGGCTCCGATCTGAGCACGTTGGGTGAGTCGACGTCAGACCGAATCTAGCTTTGGGTCAAGCGCCCGTAAAAAATCCACGGCCTCAGTTTCCCCCACAGTTTGGAGGCATTACCCACTTAAACGTGGGAAGCAGTAGGTCAAAACAAATTAAGAGAATATCCGTCATCCTGACAGCCAGCAGCCCTTGGCCAGCTGCGGTTTGGGAACTGGGGCGGGGAATGAGTTTGATCTTGGCTTGCAAAGATGAAATGTGCTGTCACAACGGGCCCGAGTTCGGCCTGTTCTAAGCAATCTCTCTCCTTGGGCAGCCGGTCAAGGAAAACAACATTTCCACTTCCGAGAACGAAGAATCCAAGTTCAAGTTTACAGATTATGATGATCCTCCCCCTCTTCCATAGCTCTTCCATAACTGAACATAAGGGAAGAGCAAGAGTTGGACGAGACCTTGGGGGTCTTCTAGTCCAGGGGTCCCCAAACTGTGAGCCCATGAGTGGGCCTGTGGCCTGCTGGTCACTGGGCCGCAGGACAGGCTGGCCAGTGCGTGCGTGTGTGTGCACAAACTCATTCCCACTTGCGCTAGTGCCCGCTGCCCCATATAATAATAATAAGGGAACTTTTCAGGTCCAAGAAACCAGCCGATTTACACCTCCTGATGACCCACGAATCCTTTTTCCCCTCCCCTCTTCTTTCCTTCCGTCCATCTCCAGGCTTTTCGGACGTCGACCACGTCTACGCCCAACGCACTCAGCTCTTCGACACCCTGGTGAATTTTTTTCCCGACAACATGACCCCTCCCAAGGGCAACCTGGTGGAGCTCATCACCCTGTGACGAGTCGAGTTGCTAGACCTGTGGAAGGAAGAGGATTTTTTCCCCCCCAGTATTTTTAATTTCGTGTGCGTGCGTGTGCGCGCGTGCGCGTGCGTGTGTGTGTGTGCAGTGAGCGATTGGGGGGGCTGCAGAAATAGAAGCGAGTCATGTGGGGGAGGGGCTTTATGCAAATGGGTAATAAAAAAAAAAAGGAATCGATAATGTTTCCGATGGGCTTCAGGATGGATGGATGGACGGATGGATGTTCTGTTCGTTTTGTTCTGTTCGTTCTGTTGGTTCATTCTCATTCATGATGTTTTCGGAAAGCTGGCGAATATTGATAATCCAGGGGGAAATTGGGTTGGGTTCCTTGAGTTTACAGCCCCTGCCCTGGGTGCGAACTCAGGACTTTGAAGATAGGTGGTGCTTTTTTTTTTTTTTTAATTATTATTTGATTGGTTCGCAGCAGTTTTATTCCCCCCCCCCGACTGACTTTGCCGATTGGAGCTTGTTTCTCAAGCCTGCTAAGCCCTCTTCATCCCATGGAGGCACCCTTAAAGAGTGGAAGATGGGAGGGGAGGTGTAAATTTGACCCTTTTTTCATGTTGAGCTGATGTTGGAAAAAGAAAGGCAAGGATGCGTGTACTTTGGGGATCTTGCGCCATCTAGTGGCCGTGAGCATGCGTGTACTTTGGGGATCTTGCGCCATCTAGTGGCCATTAAGACCCACAATGTTGACTTCTGCCTCAATCAGGACTAGGAAGGCTGTCAGGCTGACATTTTAAGACCCACGATGTTGACATCGGCCTCAATTCGGGGATGGTCCAACCGTGGCCACTTGTAAGACCTGCGGACTTCAACTCCCAGAATCCCCCAGCCAGCCTTTGCTGGCTGGGGGGATTCTGGGAGTTGAAGTCCACAAGTCTTAAAAAAAAAGCAGCCAAAGTTGGACACTCCGGCCCTAAATGGGGGACATCCTGTCTTGCGAATCCATGTGGAGAAGACGCAACCTTGACTTGTTTCTTTTACCCAAAACTTTCCCGCGTTAGAAAACGAAGCCTACGCATCGCCGCCCCTTCCCCTTCCATTTACACCTAGAAAGAGTTTAGCTTTTTAAATTTCAGATTACAATCCCCGGAGTTCTAATCGTAGCTTTGGGGCTGTGTGTGAGCAGCAGCTGCACAAGTGCGTGTGTTAGTTGATTGCTTTGTAACCCGTTTTTTCCCCCCACTTCCTGGATTACTTGTTTTTCTGGGAAAGCTCACACAGTTGCGCCAGGATGGACACGCAAGGCCAGGAGTTTCCACTCGGACGCTATCTTTTAGCAGATTGCAGCAGTCTCAGCATTGGATTGTGTGCCACAGTGTTGTGACCGTGGAGAGGAGAGGTCACAATATGATGGAGTTAGTAGTGTTCTTCTAACATTCACGGAGGTGGACGCCCTGATTACAACGGGAGTGTAAACCCTGTCCCTCCATCTGATGACCTTTCTTTGCTTAGATTTCTGTGCTCTTAGATGTGGAGGACCCCAGTGAGATACACAGCATGCTGTGTGTCTCATTCCCACCCCACAGAGCTAGTGGTGTGACTACCCAACCGATGTTACTCACATTGAGAGATTCATCATCTCGAAACCGAAGTGAGATCCCAGCACGGACGGTCTTGCTTCTTTCGGCTCCCAAAGGATCTTGTGAACTTCATCCTCGCATACCAGGGTGAGGCAAGTTGTGATGGCCACTTTGAAACACACCAAAAGCCCCGTTTCCCAACGTTCTTGTCCCCGAGCACGATAAGGAGACGAGGGAAGTCCTCAAGGAAGTTTAATCCAGTGTTCCTTAAGTCTTTTCACTGAACTCGTTTTCTTTAATACGCCCACCCCGGTGTCCCACAAGCCGTTCATTTCCATTTTTCCTCCGCTACAGTTGGCCTCGTAAAATGAGCAAATGAATCGGGATAATGGAGCGATTTGGGCGTTAGCTTCGTAAATTGAGTAGAAGTTACATCGCAGAGAGAAAGGGCGAGGTCTCCTAGCATGTGGGTGATCATCTGAAACGTTGCACTAATAAATGTTCTCTTTTTGTGCTGGTGTTTTCCAGGCCCACGCCAAAAAAAAGGGGCTGTGTTTTTTGATCAGGGCCTTGACTTCCGTCTTGCAGGTTTTCACACACAATCACGCACACGCCCTCGGAAAAAGCGTACAGTTTCTCCCATCTCCATGGTCATAGGAAATGTCTTAAAACGTAGCGTTTAAAATCTTTGGGGTGAAATATATATTTTAGCCTAGTCAGGGTTCATCGATAAAATGAGCTTTTTTCCTTCTTCGGCTTGCGTATTTGTGTTATTTTGCTGGGCGCTTTGTGAGTTTGGGTTTTGGATGGAAGCCGGGGAGCGAACCCACGCTGGGATGGCTCTCGGCGCCTTCAGGAAAAGAAAGACAGGCATCAGACCAGAGACTGACAGTCAAAATGGTTGAGCGATCGGGAACTGTCAGATGTTTTTGAAGGACACCTACTAGCATGTCTTCCTATTGGTTGTGCTGGTTGGAGACGTCTTTCCACCAGCATCTGGAGGACTTCAATTGTCCACCTCTGCTTCAAAGGGTCGACTGATTTAACCCTTCCAAAATTTCTTAGGACTTCTAAGAAATTAGAAGCACCCAAGGAACGAAAGAACAGAAGCCGAGCCAGATTTGCTGTGGAAAACTTAGCTTTGTTGAGTTGGCAAAAATTAGTCTGGCGCTAGTATCACCGTAAGCCAGGGGTCTTCAAACTTGGCCCTTTTGTGATTTGTGGACTTCAACTCCCAGAATTCCTCAACCAGCGTGCCTGGCTGAGGAATTCTGGAAGTTGAAGTCCACAAATCATAAAAGGGCCAAGTTGGAAGACCCTTGCCATAAGCCACAAGGTTTTGGTGGTCCATGCAGTCTCCAACAAACGTTAAACTTTTAGCGCTATGCCTTCCTTCCCCTATGGCAGCTCAGCTGGAGGGTTTTTAACTCTTGATTTTGATAATCCCATTTTGCAATTTTGTCCAACCATTGTGGCATTGTGGTTTACACAAACCAGTGTCGCAAGCCATGGTTTGAAATCGTTTTTGCTTTTAAAACTGTGAATTCTGACTTCCTGTCAATCAGAAGAAAGAAAGACAGTTGGAAGCAACGCCCAATTTGTACTGCAAATAACCTCTTATCAGAGAAGGCACTTGAATTACAAATCCATGGTTTATGAGGGCCCTATAGATTGTGGCCAGTGCTGGCAGACTAAAATAAAACGATCTATATTAGTACGGTAGCCAAGTGCCATCTTTTAAAAATTACAAATTTAAAAAAATAACAATTAAAAAGTATATATATTTTTCCTATTTGAGACACCCAGACTTTTAAAAAAGGTTTTCCCCCCCCTCTATTTTAAATGAATTTTTAATTGTCAGGTATGGCACACGAGAGTCAGGTTTCAAACCTGAGTTTCAAGTAGAGTTTTACCATCCTTTTTATGTGAACCAGAAAAAATTTGCCCAGATTTTCTGCATATAGATAAAACTGTGGTAGCCGAGGTGACATTCTTCCCTCTCAAGCTTCTGATGTATTTTTTTGGGGGGGGGGGCTGTTTAGAATGCATTGCATGGACCCATCGTCCACTTCCAGTAATTTGTATGCCTTGCCTCAGGATCCTCACCCTTCCCATTGAGTGCATGTTCTTGTGGGGTGGGGCATGCTAATTTCATGACAATTTCTTCCAAATGTTCTTTATGTTGAGATAGCACCAACATCCCATAAACACACCTGCCCTTAGTTGGTCCTATCCACGCCAGTCAGATACTGAAGGTGTCATCCAGACTTCCATACTTTGGATCCACCGACAGACCAAAGTTTGACTTCAGCTTTCCTTAGGTTAGCTAGACCCTTTCAGATGTATGGTGGCTACAAGCTTCTTTGGCAGGGGTCTTCTAACCTGGTCCTTTTATGACTTGTGGACTTCAACTCCCAGAATTCCTCAGCCAGCGTGCATGCTGGCTGAGGAATTCTGGGAGTTGAAGTCCACAAGTCATCAAAAGGCCAAGTTAGAAGAGCCCTGCTCTTCGGCCATGTTGACGAGCAATCCCTGTGGCTCCCAACATCCCATTGTTTAATAACAGCAAGTAAATTTGTTATGGAAATCTTTTTGAGTAAACCACGATTTCTACTTAGGAGCTGGTATTTAAGGCAGGTAGTAGCCTTGTAGGCACCAAGAGACTCTTTATAACTGGAACTTTCCTATCAGAAAAAGATAGAATCGGTTGATACTTCTTTTAATAATTTGGTCCAGCTTAGGGACTTGGCCATTCAAACAGTGCTGGACATTTAGTTAGATTTCTCTAGATATGTTAAAGTCTTGGGCTGGTCAGAAGTATTAAGAGATGTGTGTTGTGTGGACCTCACCGAGATGAGAGAGTAGACCTCAAATGCATGAAGATTCTTCTCTTAAAAAGATCCTTTTGCACCATTTTTAGGGCATTGCCCCCTTTTTTATCACAACTTCTCTTGTCACCTTCCACACACATGCACTTCAGGAGGATCCACCAAATCTCACAAAAATGAGCATATCTCCTAAGAGAGACCAGGAGATGAGTGAGGATCTCTTTCAACTTCTGGGTCTTAATCTAAAATCTCGAATATAATTCTGTAGAAAAGAGAAAGCAGATAATAATGGTCAATTCTGCCTTTAGAAATCCTGTCCGGCCACTAGCAAAAACTCTCTGAAGAGGACAGATGAAACTTTACCCCCCAAGGTCATCACGGCCATTGAAATCGCGGAATGTGACAGTGAGAAAACCAAGTTTATTTTCCACACCATCCTGTAATTTTGATGTAGACCTAGCGGTTCAGTTCGATAAGAGAGGTTGCAACTTCTGGCCATCCCTGTTTGATTAGTTACCGATCGGTAGATTCGGCTTTTTTCCCCTTCTCCCTTTTCCTAACTTTATGCCATTTAGAGCTTGGCTCAGAATTTTGATAGTCCCGAAAGACTGACAGGTGTCATGCTGAAAACTGAGCTGTTCCCTCTTTA